AGACTAAATCTCTGCATGCGGGAGTGCATCTTCGTCGAGTAGCGAATGGTGGGATCTTCCATCCTGCCTCGTCGCCTATTTCGGCACTGCGATGGCAGTCATGTTAGTCGTTGCCGCAGATCGTGTTGGTATCACACATCAAGATCTACAAATCGTCCAATCGCGCAGCATTGATCGGGTCACGTGGAATCATAAATATATGGTTGCGATGCCTGATGGTAACCCCGTTTGGTACAATGAGTTCAATCTCTCCAGAACCGTCCCCCACGATACGTGCGTGACTATTCAATATCTGAATACTGGGGTTTTACCCTTATGCGACACAACGAGTCAAGCGTGAGCTTGATCTGGAAATCGATGATGGTGATGCGACCAATGGTCGAAACAGTACAGCTCTAGTCGCAGAATCTTCGGTCAGCAAGCGATCCTCTGCTAGGGGAGAACCTTGATTCGGCAAGCGATCTTCCGAGCAAATCCTGAAGAGAATCTGGGTGATCGCGAAAAAGACGGAAAAGGCCACTTTTGAACATGCCAACAATTATCGTCATACATGGGCAGAAGACGACTCGAAGCATATGTATCAGCTGGGCAGATATTGTGAGCATATTTTTGAGTGTAAGGAGGGTAAATGTTCGGAGATTGTGTCGTCTGGCTGGACCTTGAACAACAAAAAGCAGCAATTTGCCAGACAGAGTGTTCACCAGTGTGAGACGGGCGATTATGATGAGACTTGGAGCAGTGGTTGAATAGGTCGCTAAATAGATTTCAAAGGCCCTTTTGTTCTACCGACATATTTGTTATTGCCAGCCGAGGGGGCCAGTCGCATGGCCCTAGGTCTTGTTATCCTGCTATTCATTAGATGCGCTTAACGGACATTTTAAATATCAGTAGGTAAGATTCATATTAGAGATTCGGCTAGGCCGGTTTTCTTTTCGTTTCTAAGATGATCGCGGTTTGTCTGGCGGCCAAACTGGGACATTGCATCCTGAACTTGGCGAGGCACTAATATTTGACACCTTGGTCGCTTGGCATGGACATACTATAGAAGAAATGGGCGTTTTTTTGTGATGAGTGTCACGACTCTAGAAAACAATCAAGAAACGAACGCATTGTAGCCCTTCGACAAGGCGACGAAAGTGAAAAGGGGAAAGGGGAGGAGGGGCTGCCACAGAAGGAGAACTGTCAGGATCACTGACTGACCGATACTGAATTCGGCCTGAGGCATGATGGAATTGTCGGCACGAATAAAACCCTAACCCTAAAACCCTAAACCGAGCTTTCAAAGCAGACGAAACAATCATTCATGATTTTAATTTGTGATATTTGCAGTTTCCCGTTGTTTCTGACCCTTTCGTAGGGATGTAACCAGATCTGTAATGACGATGTGATGAGGCATACAGACAGACGTTCTGTGGGTTTTACACCATTTTATCTCAAGATACAATGTGATCACTTTGAATCATGAGGGCCTGTCCCTGGCATCATGCTACTCAGGAGACCCGAGCAGAGAGCCGATAAACCCTTAGGAGCTGGATATAGTTACTTGCAATGCTTCAATCCACTCGATAAAAGGGGCTGGTGTTTTGTTCGCGTCGAAAGTCACTTAGCAGCGTTTCCTTTGTGCGCGATCCTCGTCTGTGGTCATATTGTCATGGACACGCACGTGATGGTGATGAAAAAAAAACATCTATCTCTGCGTAAATCGAATTTCTGAAATTGTACCGCCACGCCAAGAGCTACGCCCACCAAACTTTGCTCGGTTTGAACTGACTTCACGTACAATCGTTTGATACCACTCTTGTGTGGTAATCATCATAGTGGCGCCGTGGAATGACTGGCCACCCCTCTTAGGGGGTGTGGAAGCCGAGCGACGTAACATCAACTACCGTATTTTGAACGCTGATCACGATGCGAAGCGGCTCCTGGAGCATATCTAGGGTCATACGGGCATTAGGGTCCCTCCGCCAGTGCTACAATACATTAAGGCTATATAAGCCCTAACGATAGACCTAGTGCGAAACCCTAGGGGACGGACTGGAAGAAGGATATTGATACCCTTCGCTAGGAAACCCTCTAAATTAAGTAGGATAACCGTTAGTGGCCAAAAGTTTTCGCGTCACTACTGTACTTGGGTTCAGTCACATGTGCTTCCCGGAGATCGCTCAAAGCCACCATCATATTTCTGACCACCTACGGCTTCAACTGACTGAGCTCAGGAAATCTGGGGTTGACCTATTATGTGATTTCTTGGCTCGCAACAATCTTACATATACCGACCAGTGCCATTACAGCTTAGATAAATAGGCGACCGCAGCCTTCTTCCTCTCGTAAGCCTTTTTCTGTGCCATTCGTTGTAGCTGATATTTTCTTAGATGATTCGACTGCCAAACAGCTAAGAGCACAAGCCAGAAGTTGAATTGAAATGTCAGCATTTTGAGACAGTAGGGAAAATCAAATTCAGGATGGCATACCACACACAAGACACGACTTGTTGCCCCATTTTAATTCATTTTAGGTCACTTCCTTGGCTGACCGTTCAAGGTCACTCGGCTTGAGGATAGGCTACGTACATGCACTTAATCTAGGATACGCCGGCAAAGTGGAATATAGTCGTATTGGCGAATTATATACTGAGATGACTGCTCCTCCGGTACCGAGGCTAGAGTCATATCCAGCGTACACTCGAGTATAATGATCTCTCTATAACTGGTCCACCAAGAAATTCTGTAGCCTTAGGCTAGTAAAGGAGTCTCTCGGCGTTAACACGGGGCAGACTCAATATCGGCTAGTCATCTGTGCCACTCATATAAGGCCCACTTCCGCGGTCCTAGCCCCTTAGGTTGTAGCCAGCTAGGATTGAACAACTGCGATTGGACTTGGCCACTGACTGAGGGGTTGCGTACAGCTTGGATAAAGATGCTACGCTAGAATCACATTATTTTTGGGCAACTTAGTCCAAAACGGCTCAGATGCCTTACAACCGATGTAGAATCTCAACCGAGCTAGGGTCGAAGCTAGTTTTGAAAGCCAGTCATAGTTTCTTTGCGATCGATAATCAATGCATACACCTTATACTCGCAGAGGCGCTCTCGTCGGGGTATGTATAAGCTTGTTTCAATGTATAGCACGCTTAGCAGTTCGGACGGCCGTTATTGCATTTCACGCGCCGATCCCTAGATAGCTAGTATACTGTGTGCTTTCTCTTACACGTGGAAAGGTTAGCTAAGGGAAATTCACGGCCTTGCGAGTTTATTCCGATATCGAGAGAATGAAGTAAAGGCAGGTTCCGCGAACTCCGCGTAGAGGTACAAAGAGCTGTCATCGGTCTTCCGCAAGCTCCGCGGGCCGCCAGGCATTATCTTACCCCACAACTCGGTAATTTCTAATTAAAAGACCATTGAGGGTAATACGCTCTGGCATTGAAACTATCGTCGATAATTCAAGCTAGTATCCGTCGTCTTTGGGGTATACCTCAGCCTGGCTATCAGAAGCACATCACAGCCCAAGCTGGTTTCGTCGAAATTGTAGATATCCTTCGGTCGCAACTTATTATTTTAGCCACATCACTCTAGCCGCTCGTACTAGTTTGTATGATAGTCTATATCTTCAGCTTACCTTCTTCTTCGTCCTGTTTGCTTTTTTTTGATAAAATGATGCTTGAGCCGCGGTAAAAGATGATTAGGAAAGTCGTAGACCCAGTTATTATTGAGCGTGAGACGCGTCGGAACAGAAAATTATAACACATGCTCCCACCATTTCTGCGGTCGGGGGAGAAAATGCACTATCTAGAATAGTGCTCCAGCTAGATAATGCGTCTCCTTACTCGAGATTTAATGCTTTGTTGGTGGAGATACGCGCTTTGAAGTGCGACCGTGAGGTCTTTCATACATGGTACGGAATCTCAAATTTCCGCGCCATAGGTATGATTTTTGGCTTAATACGCTTATTGTAAACAGGAATAGCATTTTCGATAAATGTCTCGAGACCAGGAGGCTTATTGGGCATGATGGAAGCGGAGTAAAAGGAATTGTTGAGGCCGATCGATCTCGGTGTAAAGTTCGTGTGGCTCGTAAGCTCATGGGCCCAGACACAATTCCACGAATATCAGTGGACCAAAGTGGTAAAAAGCCCAGCAGACCCCAGACACCTGGAGATGTAGGGATTACATACTCGGTTCCACCTTCCCACGGGGCAAAAATCTGGAGTGCAGTGGCGCTTTAAACTCGGCACGACAGGGACTTCGGGTTCCCCACTAGTGTTCGCTTACACCGACTTCTTCTCTTCCCTTCCCCTGAAATTACAAATATTCTAGTGGCTGATTATTCAATCCACTCCTCCCGAGTCAGTTTTGCGGACCTCGGACGTCATAGTTTCTCCCCAGCGTTGCTTCCGACCAGGCAATCGAGTTTTGATGGTCTAACAGCCGCAGCCACCTGTCGGTTAAATCCCGGGCCTTGCTTCCCCACCGATCGACAACGAAACATTTACTTGTTTTGTATATGGCGTCGCATCGGTCCGACTCAGGGCCTGCCTCTGGAACTCTACGCTAGAGCAAGTTAATCGGCTCCGACACTCTCGTCGCCTTCTGTGGCATAAAATTGTATAAAAATATAAAAATAACTATAAGTAGTGCCTTATTAAGCAGTATCACCAATAAAAGTTTATACACGTGACTTACTCTACCCCACTTTAAAAACCATTGGGGCCCCAAGAACCATTGCGGTTTTTGCCGCAGTCTAGTCTTTTCCAGATTCAAAAAAGGCTTTTGGCCAAGACCATTGCCTCGCATTGTCTCTGGCTTTGACCTTGGCTCATAAGATGAAGGACCCACCACCGACAATGTCCCACGGGAGAAGACATGAGCCAAGCTGTATTCTTAGAGGCCGTGGCACTTGGTATTGTGAAATCGGATAGAACGTCTATAAAAGCCTTGACGTAAACCTCCGTAAGTTTTTCTCTCCCTCACTTGCCAGGGTCCTTTTGATTTAATCGTGCGTACAATGAAGATCTCTGTATTTTTACTTGCTGCGGCATTGCAGCTGGTAGGCCATGTCGTCGCACAAAATGGGCAGACAGACCCTGCTGATCTCGAGCGCTACTGGTCCTACGGTCGCTCAGAGCCAGTCCTCGAAACCCGTAAGTGCCTTTCTTTCTGTACGGCCGTGTGAGGACTCAAGTTCTGATACCTCTTCTGCTACAGCCGTTGCAAAGGGTTTAGGTGACTGGGCCAACGCTTACCACAGAGCCCGGCACCTTGTCTCCCAAATGACCGACGAAGAGAAAAACAACCTTACGTATGGCCACACATCAACTACCACCGGCTGCTCTGGCATGACAGGCAGCATTCCGCGACTGGGGTTTCCAGGTATTTGCTTCCAAGATGCCGGTAACGGGGTTCGCGCTGTTGACATGGTCAATTCGTATCCGGCCGGCCTGCACGTCGGCGCATCTTGGAACCGTGACATCGCCCACTCCCGGGGAGTTCACATGGGTGCTGAGTTCAGGAGAAAGGGTGCCAACGTGGCACTAGGTCCAGTGGTAGGACCAGCTGGGAGAATCGCTAAAGGTGGCCGAAACTGGGAAGGCTTCGGTAGTGATCCGTACTTGTCTGGGATCTTGGCTGCAGAGTCTGTCCGTGGTCTCCAGAAAAATGTTATTGCCTGTGTCAAACACTTCATTGCAAATGAGCAAGAGACCAACCGCAACAGTCCCCAGTTGTTGACAGGATCCCACAACCAGTCTGTTTCATCGAACTTGGACGACAAGACGATGCACGAACTTTACCTTTGGGGCTTTCAGGATGTGGTCAAAGCAGGTGCTGGGTCCGTTATGTGCAGTTACAACCGCATCAACAACAGTTATGGCTGCCAGAATAGCAAGACCATGAATGGTCTTCTCAAGGGAGAACTGGGGTTCGAGGGCTTTGTAGTGTCGGACTGGACTGGCCAGCACACCGGAATTGCCAGTGCAAATGCAGGTATGGATATCGCCATGCCGGACTCGAAGTACTGGGATAACAGCACCTTGGTCTCTGCTACTCAAAACGGCTCAGTGCCGCAGTTCCGACTGGATGACATGGCAACTCGTATTGTTGCCTCTTGGTACAGATACGCCGAGCTGCCTAATCCTGGTCACGGAATTCCAGTCAGTCTACTTGAGCCCCATCACCTCGTCGATGCTCGTGATCCAAAATCAAAGAAAATAATTCTTCAAGCCGCCGTCGAAGGCCATGTTCTGGTCAAGAACACCGCTGGCGCACTGCCGCTCCACAAACCCAAATTCCTCTCCATCTTCGGATATGATGCTTTGCCCCCTTCTGTGAACACTTTGGACGCATTGGGTGCATGGGCAGTTGGACTAAGCAACGCCTTGGCATATCCCAACGGTAGCGCGGTTAACAATGGCACAGAGGAGGCTATGTTCCTGTCAAGCGCGGACCCAACTTTCCGTGGCCCAGGAGTCGCCCTGAATGGCACGCTCTTCTCTGGCGGTGGCTCAGGCGCCAGCACGCCCTCCTACATAGATACTCCGCTGAACGCCTTCCAGCGCCAGGCATACGACGATAACACTTTCCTAGCGTGGGACTTGGCCTCGCTTAATCCGTTTGTGAACCCTTCCAGCGAAGCGTGTCTCGTTTTTGTCAATGAAGCCTCATCGGAAGGATGGGACCGACCTTATCTGGCGGACCCATCCTCCGATGATCTCATCAAGAATGTAGCCGCGAAGTGCTCAAACACAATTGTTGTCATCCATAACGCTGGTATGCGTCTTGTGGATGTGTGGATTGAGAACCCCAATGTGACTGCCGTGATATATGCTCATGTGCCTGGCCAAGATAGTGGTCGAGCCTTGCTTGAAATTATGTATGGGAAGCAATCACCATCCGGTCGGTTGCCGTACACTGTTGGCCGCAAAGAGGCAGACTACGGCGAGCTACTCGAACCCGTTATTCCATCCGGTACGGAAGACATGTTCTATCCGCAGTCAAACTTTACCGAGGGTGTCTACACTGATTATAAGGCCTTCATGGCGAAGGAAATCACACCGCGATTCGAGTTCGGCTACGGCTTGACTTATTCCAATTTCTCGTATTCTGACCTTGAGATTGTTATCAATTTCCACGCTGAACTGGATTATCTACCCTCAAATAAAGCGGTCGCTGAGGGGGGTCTTCAGGCGCTTTGGGACATCATCGCTAGCGTCAACTGCACTATCAAGAATTCTGGAAACATACCTGCTGCGGAGGTTGCTCAACTTTACATTGGTATCCCCGGTGGTCCTATTAAGGTCCTGCGCGGGTTTGAGAAAAAAATGATTCAACCTGGGCAGCAAGAACATGTTCAATTCCATTTGACGCGCCGCGATCTCAGTCAATGGGATGTGGAAAAGCAGGCCTGGGGGCTTCAATCGGGCCTGTACGCTATTTATGTGGGAAAGAGCGTGTTTGATATTCAACTGGATGGTACTCTCCATATTTCTTGATCTTGTCCGGATGACTGGTTTTTTCTTTTCGGCCACCATGGCAAGTGCAATATAGGGGGTTTCCGTTGCAATTATATGAAGTTTCCGGGAAGGTTTTACACCATTCTCTGCGGTTGAATACCAATTTATTTAAAGCTGATTCTAGTAGACAAAAACCGGCTCAAAGGATAATATTATATAAGCGGTATTGAGATATATTATATTATCCCTATGGCTATCTCACTATCCCATGGGGGTAATTGTAATTCGGCGGATTACATTTTAGTCAGCATCATTTATGGTGTTAGGGTTTCTCAACCTGCCGCATTATATTTACATTCCAGAGTCATTACATTTAAATTTTTATGAAGCGATTTCAGTCAAATTTTGGTCAGTTTTAATTTAATATCCAATTTAATATTGCGTGAGCTTTTGACCCTATCCAACAATATTGAGAGATCATTATAGGGGTGCAAAGTTCGTGAATTATTTTGATGCAGACATGATTTACCCCTCCAAACCGCTTACCCCTCTGTACCCCACCTGATCGATGACATATCCCTCATCACGCCATCAGTTCTATCACATTTCCTTCTCTGATTCTATCCTGTTTATCTGATATAAAGCATGTGACTTTAACCACTTTCTGTCTATAAATACGCACGAGACACCAAGTAGAAATGACAGACCTTTCACTCTCTTCAAAGATTCTTCTATCCTTCTGCCTTCATTAGTCCTTTGTTTGAGGATTGTGGATCGTACTCATTTAGAGTGCATAAGCCCTTTGCATTCTATCTTATTCCTTCTATCTATATCCGATCAAACCTTCCTTGGTCGGGTAGCTTACGGTCCGTGGTGGGGAAGCATCTGCAAAAGCGTACCCCGCGTCACGAAAAGCTTCGTGGTATCCGCCTCCCTCCGCGGCCTACACTTATTATCTCGCATATGAAAAAGGAGGATGTGTAGAGTACTGTTATGACCAGAACGAGCGTATTCATGGTAAATAATTAGGAGTGAGTCAGCGACAAAAATTTCAAGCAGAAGGCCATGAAAGGTGGAAGAAGCGAGAATCATGCTAGTGCGGTTTTTGACTAGTAAAACCGCGACTATATTGCGGTTGCGGGTTTCATTTGAAAACCTCAATAGCGGTTTTGCCGCAGCCTAGGCAAGACTCCGCAAGAGACCGATCGCGTCGTGCGGCAAGGCTGTGACGATTTGCAAACCGCGTGCTATACAGTCGACGCTCGATTAGACGCTCAGAAACAAGCCCCACGTGTGTTTTCGTCTAATACCAGTCAAAAACATACGCAGAGTGCATGTGCTAAGTGGTTTGAGGACCAATTCAAACAAGTGGTTGATCGGTCAGCCATATAATGATTTGAAACTCTATATGATCAAGCAATTTAGAAGCTTGGTAATGATACTATTATGCCATTAATTCGTTTTTGAACCTTCCTGACGAAAAACGTTAGATGATGAGTCTGGAACAGCAAGATGAGACTTAAAAATCAAGGCACATATATTTTTCAACAGACCAAGGGATAGGAGACTGGAAAAAAGCCTTTGGTGGTTGATACTACCTTCAAAACAAAACATTTGAGATTGTGTACCGAGCGGGAGCTTTTCCCGGACCAATGGCGGACCCACCTACGGGAGGGGCCGAACCCCCTCCCACAAACACCCAAGACACCACCATCAGCGTCTCAGTGGAAGACTTCCAAACCAAAGTGACTATCGGATCGCCCGGATTCCCTAGCGAAAGCCGAAAGCGAACACGCAGTGGTGATGCCTTCACACCAGTACCACACAGAAAGTGATCAACCGATCAGAATACTACGAAAGGAGATCAATTTTACAGGTTACCACGAGTGGGTAACTGTAATTGAGTCAATAAATGTCGGGGTGGGTACTTCCGCCAACGCTTATTTTCCAAGGCAAATTATACAATCAAGCATGGTTTAAAGACCTTCCACTCGACTGTCGTTTTGAAGTTAGTACGCATGTATGGATAACCGACGAGATAGGCGTTCGTTGGCTTCAAGAACAGTTTATTCCGTCAACAAGTCATCGAAGACGAAAGCGCTTTCGTAAGACTAGATGAACGGCTCACAATGAGGGTCTATCCATACGAGAAGCATTAGAGCTCGAGGAGGAGCCATCTCAGGTAATACTAGCTCCACCAAGCCTATCACCGCGGGACATACTAGCACCGAAAACGCGGCGTTCACCCCAATAAACAAATTGCGGACAGATCCGTCATAAGAAGATCACATGTAAAGCTAGAAATAAATCAATATCAAGGCGTTCTGGTTGATTAAAGTGTCAAGATATAGAGGAAAAATGGGCGGTTGCATCACTCGCTTATTTACATCTCCAGCCCACCACGGTATTCGTACCACACCATACTGATCTGTTATTGATTCACCACTAAAGTATATAAATTCGCACAAAAGCTATTTCACTCCAAACTCATGAAAATCAGTACTGCCGCCACTAGCGGGGCCAAAAACAATATTACCTTCCACGCCAACCGCTTCATCCCCCGCTGTAACACGATCTGCACCTTCTCATCTAACCACTTCTTCTCATTGAGATGTGGGAACGGCACATTTGGCACGGGCCTCCCCAAAAAGTCGCACAAGGGCCCCCACCCATCACTTATCTGAAACTCGAGCAGGCGGTCGGTAGGTGTAAGCTGCCGCACGAGCGCGTAGTGCTCAAGGTACTTCTCCTTACTCACGCGCTTCGCATCCTCGGGATTCTCAATCCCTAACCAACCACGGAACGTGGACTTATGCACATGCCCGAGTGGGTAGGTAAACCACCGGTCGATGGTGTAGATGACTGTCACGAAGGGGTCGAAAGTATTCTTGATCACGCTATTTATCCAGCTCTCGTACCACGAGTCAATATCACGCTCGACTAGGACAACTTTCGCGTCTGGGTAGGCTGCTATTAGGTCGTCCGCGAAGGCGATAGCCGGCGTGTCCGAGGAGACAGCGCCGTAGTCATGCAGCAGCTGGTCGAATTCGGCGCGCCCGTATCTTGGGCCCGGCGCATCAAAGAACTTGCGGTTAATACCTTCCTGCCACATCTCAATATCGCCAAATCTGGCGCCCATGAATTGGGTAGAGTGCCAGCAGGTGAGGCCAAGGATCTCGAGGGCATTGCACATCGCTATCGCAAGGTGGGTTAGGGTTGTTATTTTTAGGGGGTTGGCGGGTGGCTACTTACACGCGGTGCCCGTCCGATTGAACCCCAAGCACAAGCATTCTAACGGAACAGTCCGCTTCTTCCCCGGGGGGGAATCGCTATTTACGGAGCGGAACAAGTCCGGATGTCGTTCTTGCGGTGTAGCCATGGCAGATATGGAAAAGCGGAAGAGAACGAGTAAAATTTCTAGAGATGGCTCATAAATGCTAACGTGGTCGGTAAACGAGTGGGCCATGTAAGCGACTGGGCCACACCAAAACACATAGTAAAAGCAACAAGTTAAGATTTGTAATCTCAACAAGTGGATTCATTTAGACAACAAGCCAGGGCGCTCGGAGGCTGGACTGTGAGACGACTAAATTCGCCTGCCAATTGTTTATACATATAAACATAAAAATAAGAAAACCTTTTGAGGGCGAGATGCCTCCAGGGGAGGCCCCAACCGAGCGGGCGGCTACACCTGAGCCGACCGAGCACTCAACGGAACCAACGTCACCGCAGCCACTACGAACCTCGAATCGGCCAATCAGAGTACCAGCGTCACACTCTCAGGAGTAAGAGAGGGCGCAGCTAGCAAGTAGGAGAGACGCCAGAAGAAGAACCAACCGGAACCGGGCCTACGAGGGAGCCCGGCAGCAGAGGACGTAACTCCCACACCTAGCTAAGCAGACCCTATTCTACGAGCAATTCTAGAGGCATTCGGGAAGATCGAAACCTCAAACAAGTACCTCCATCAAGAGATCGAAGCCAGACATGTGGAGACCTCTAGATTTCAATCGTAGATCACGGAGCTCCGCAACGAGCCGAGCCAGAGGGATGAGAGACACCAGGAACAAATCAGGAACTACAAGGAAGAGATAAAGAGCTACAAGGATGCGTTGGTGGATATACAGAGGAAGATGGAGGAATTCAAACAAACGGTTGTGTTAACAACCATAATGGTATGTATCTGTAACGGTCACTACGAAGAGTTTCGCGCGGAGCTCTAATCGCTACGCACTACTGTGACCAGCCCGAGCACGGGCCGGAGCTGGGCATCGATAGTGTCTTAGTCCTTAGTGGTGTCGTCTAACACCCGGACAGTGCGCTCGAGCCTCGGTCTCCCGGCCATCGTTCTGGCATACGATCGGCAAATGACGAAACCAAGGCGTTGGTCGATGACCCCGCACAAACGCGCGAGAAGAGACGGGCCGCACTCAAGGACGAGACGATCACCTCGAACGTAGAGATTATTGGGGTTGAGCCGACCTCCTAGACCACAGTCAAAATTTTTATCGATTCGGAGGAAAGCGTTGCGAATCTCCGTCGAGCTACACACTGGCTGGGCGCCTTACCTGGAGCTCAGCTACAGGGGGGAGTAACTAGAAGTCGCAGAGATATATAGGTTCTCTAGCCATCGTAGCCCAATTTCGTCTGTTGTCCAGCCATTCTTGCTAATTTCGATTCTCCAATCATTAGGTATATCGTCGAACCATGCGTATTGTTGGTAGGTAGTCGATTTGAAGATTATATATGGTGGGAGCACAAACCCCGTCGAATTCACGCATTTAATTGATATAACCTATTCGCGATTCCTTGGCTGTAGAAGTGACCTCTAGCTATAGTATTCGGCTCTGGTAATTATTTTAGCAGTAGCTATAAGCGCTATTGCAAAGTAAGTCTTATTAAAATTGTAAATATCCTTAGGTTGGATACCATTCTCGTCGATTGTATGTCGTATAAGGTCGAACCAGGGTTGAAAAACCCTGGGATCTTCGTATTTTGCCCTCTTATGATTATATCGACGAGAAAATCGGGTTTTAAGCTAATTATGGCGATTAGTATATTTATGAACCCACCTAGATGAAACTTACTCTCCCGCTACGCTTTGCAAGTAGGATATTGGCCATATCCCTCACCATACTAGGACAGGGAGCTAATCTACGTGTACCTATAGAGATTATCCACCATTGAAGTGATTCCTCTTCATTTGTAGTCAATTTATGATTGTTGGCGCGTGTATTAGGGTGAAAACTTTTGCCTTTGCATTGGTTTTGAAGAGTTATATTGCGGTACAGATCCTACCCTCTTGCTCGACGGAGTTTCGTAAATTTTCATTGCGAATTGGAGGTATGGTGGAAAGTTGAAGTAATGCAGTTAACGCGTTGGGGCATGATCGCGTTTTCCGATCGACTCGCTTACGAGAGACTTTAGGACTCTTTCCTTCCCTTTTGAAGTTTCCTGGTCTCATCGCCGTGGCCACTCACAATGGACTTATAATCCAGAATCATCCCTACACCAGGCAGTCATCCCGACGTCAAGGCCGACGCTCGTCGCATCTTTGATATACTCCAATCTGGAGGAGTGGCTCTCGTCCCAACCGAAGTCGGATACGGTCTTATGGCTTCATCTACCGAAGCTATTCAAAAAGCATTTTCCGCGAAAAAACGTCGACCCGGCTATACGCAAGGTATCATTGGATTATAAAAATTACATCAGGAGCTCCAAAATCTCTCCAATGAAAAATTGGAGATGATCCGAGTGCTGCATCAGGATCTCGATATGTCGTTTGGTGTTGTCGCGCCGTTCCGATCGGACCATCCGATCCTCCAAAACCTCGCGCCCACTACGATAGCAAACACGACTAAGAATAATACTTTGGCGATATACATTAGTGGAAGTTCTCTATTGACGGAGTTGAGCCGCTTGAATGATGAGGCCGGCCAGTTAATGCTGGGTTCTAGTGCCAATTTAACAGGCACGGGCCAGAACTTCAGAGTGGAAGATGTCGACTATGAGATCAAAGCAGCCTTCGGTATCATTGTGGACTATGGTTTGCAGCGTTATCATATTTATGGAGGGCGCCCCTCTACCATCATCGACTTCGAGAACATAAAGGTCCTCAGGATGGGCTCTACTTATGAGCTATTGAAGGAGTGCATGATGAAGTACTGGGGGTGGAAACATGCTGGCGGATACGGTGTATAATAATGAGAGATGAAGCGCAGAAACAAGCGGACTCTCTCATAAAAGAGACAAAGGATAAAGCGGTGAATGTCCAAACTTCCAGAGGCTGAAGGGAAGGGACAGCAATCCTAGCGACGATTTTATGACGAATTTACAGGGCATTGAATTTGAAGGTACTGATAGGTTATGTGACAGGGAGTCAACGTAACTCACATACGAGCCGGACATCCAAGCTGTTGACTTACAGGTTGAAGATACTTAAGGTGGCGACGAAAACGATCTACCTGAAGAGGCAGTTGGATTCCATGTAACCGTTCAATTCTACTGTTCAATATGAAGGGAGCTCCGGGATAATATATCCTATCCTCGATCCTCCAGTGACGAGGCTCAACCTCCTGATCATACTTACGTAGGCGCACTTTAAGTATGGTGGCGCCCGCCGACCCATTGTAGTGTGAGAGGTTGCAACTCTTCGGCGGATAAAAAAGCATCAAGACTAGAGATAGGTAGAATTGCCAGATCGTACCGTGCCGGCTCTAAGACAGGCATATCCTGCACGGATGTTATGCACGGTACGACATAGGCAAATCGGATGTTACGAAATGCGCGGCCTGCTTAGAAAACTAACCCGTCAACGAACGGAGTTATATGAAATGGTAGGAGGCGTGGAAACTAATACGTCGCCGAGAACAAGAACTGGCAGCTAGGCGAATTGCCTCCTTATTCCATGGCAGTCAGTAGGATTCTGCGGGTGCTACAGACTAACCCGAGGAAGGGCCCAGGAACCCGGCTCAGCCTCCTGAATGGCCGGTCACTGCAATCCTGCGATTAGTTAATGATCGCGGAACCATACCTTTTCCTGGTGAATGGCATAGTATGCTCCCATTCACATGCTAATTGGACACCACTGTGACCCTCGCAGCGGCACCGGCCATCCGGGAGGATGAGGCCGTACCATAGCGTGACCTGAGCGAACAAAATAACTTTCCCGCATAGGCAGATCGAGCTTGCATCCCCCGACATAACTGCTGTGCTACTACCAACACCGTCACCAACGCTCGACATATCCGTATACGTCCCACCGGCGGGAGGTCCAGAGGGTGTTCGGATGTTAGTCAGAGGCTGGAAGCGATCCGGCATGCCCATCGACGGGTCGAGACGAATAAGGGGACGGCATTGATATCCTCGTTGGAGGAGACTTCAACCGCCACGATCAGCTTTGGGGAAAAAAATCAGGTAGCAATGCGAACCCGGCAGGGTGAAGCGGAACCAATTGTGCTCCTCATGGCCGAGCGGGGTCTTAGCAGCCTCCTGCCCCGGGGAATCATCACCTACGAGGAAGGCGCACGACAGTCAACTATCCACCTTGCCCTCGCATCGAAGGGACTGAGTAGACGGGTCATTCGGTCTGGCATTCACCCCGTGGAAGATGGATCAGACCACCGTGCCATTGAAACGGCCTTCCTGACCGAAGCGCGACCAACAGTCGCCCAGAGACCCCGCTTCTTATTCCAAGAGGCCCCGTGGGCCGATATCAGCAGCGAGCTCCAAAGCCTCGATTCTGAAATCATAGATATCGCAAGCCCATCGGAATTGGACGACACCGTCGAGCGCCTGACCAGCAGCGTTAGCCAAGCCATTAGACGGCTAGTCCCGGCTGCATGACCGTCGCCATATAGCAAACGATGGTGGACGCCGGAGTTGACGGCACTGCGAAACGGGTACACTGGTGCCCGTAATCGGGGTACTCATGCTAGGCGATATCGGCTCACTGCGCCCGAACTGGAAGACACCGCATCGCACCTGCGGAGTCAGTACCACCGAGCCATCCGGGATGTCATACGACGGCACTGGAAGGAGTTTCTAGCAACACCGACAACATTTGGAAAGCGGCGCAGTACCTTGAACCAGTAAAGCGAAGCGTACAGACTGGTACTACTTCGAGGGAAATTGCAAGACGGGTACATGTAAAGAAACTGGACCGTAAGGTCTTGTAAAACGGAACGTAAAATTGGTAAGGATACTAAGTTAAAACTATGGTCAGGCGGATACAAACCCCACTTTCTCCACTCCCTGGATGAGTCATCCAGCCTAGACCGTAACGCAGCAAATCCAGCCAGTTATCTGACCGGTAAATCATTGTTGCGACACCAGGCGACCGATCCATGGGAATGATCTCCGCTATACCCGTAGAAAACCAGACGATCGACGATGACCATGGAAAGGCCCATGCACTCCTAGAAGCCTTCTTCCCTCCGTTGCCCAGTATTCTGGATGGACCACACGAGGAAGTGCAACAGCTGGCTCCTCTCCATATGGAAACAATCAATGCCCACGAGACCGAAGCAGCGCTGCTAAAAATGGCTTCATGGAAAGCCCCCGGACCAGACGGTCTGCTGGTCGTGGTCTGGCAACGAATCTGGCCACTTGTGAAACACTGGGTTGTTGAAATATTTCAAGCATCTCTCTGTTTCAGCTACTTTCCTGCAAATTATGCTGTACTGGCCTGTGACAAATATCTTGGCAACTTTAATATACAAAAGGAGAAGAGTCGGACCGGGCACGAAAAAGGCGTGCAGCTCACGGGAGTCGACTATAGTACACGGTATTCCTCTCTTGTAGTTAACATAAACCCCTAGTTGGAGTCCGCTAGACTCCTTTGCTCGAATAGAAGATTCAAGAAAAGATAAGCCCCAGCCAAAAAGCCAAAGTGGGAGCAGTGGAAGTTAAAAGTCTCAATCATTTAATTTCAGTTCTAGGTAGCAAATCTACTTCGGGCACGCATTCGCTCACCGTATAGGTAGAGAAACGCCATGCCTACAATTCCTAAAACTGACACGCTAGCGAGAAGTGCCACACCCTTGGGAACCCCCAGATTGTTATACATATATGGAGTCACCATGATGAAGACGGCCGCAGTTGTTGAACGCACAAGATCGTTGGCAGCAAAAAGGGACGCTGCATACTTTGGATAGGATCGGGGGATATAAATAAGGAGTGCTTGATAAATGCCAAAGCTCGACGCGCTGTAAATAACGATTCCGATGGTGGGTATGCTCCAATGAATGGTGGCTCGTGCAGTCCAGGCGAATAGAAAGAGCCCCGTGGGAGTCAAAAAGGAGCCTAACAGAGCAGGAATCAAAATAGACTCCTGCGTAGAAGACGCCTGGTTGGCAGATTGGTGACGCTGAGGATGATAGTAATAAAGGTACATCAGGTATAGGAAGGCGCCGACACCACAACCCACAACAAGAGCGAGAAATATCAGACTGAACTGTGCTGGTGACATGTGGTAGCCTTCGGTGTAGATCAGTGGGAAAGCCTCGAAGAAGGAATAGTATATCGAATAGACAAATGAAGTGTAGAGACAAGTAAAGCCAATAGCTGGGTCCTTCATACTGATCTCCACCGGTTTTATAATGGAGTTCCCAATTGAATCCCAAAGGCCCCAGGGTTCCACTTCGCTGGGGGCATAAATGTTGGTAATACCTTTTTGTCGTCGCAGCAATTGTGCTCGTCTGATCAGGATGGTGTCTGGCAGAGTTTCTGGCAAAAGGCAGATTAAAAGAAGGAGAAACGGAGCAGCCATGCAGATGATCTGCCAGAAGGGCCATCTCCAATCCAAAGCTACCGCATGGGTAGCGAAAAGAGGGCCTAGTGCTGGTCCGCAATTTATGCAAACAACCCATAGGGTCAGTCCATAAGGCACCAGGTCTGGTGGGTACACGTCCCCAATAGAGGCGCCTGCAGTCGCCAAACAGGGACTTCCGAAGAATCCCTGGAGAAATCGTAGTGTTGCGATAGCTGGAAAATTATCCACCACTCCTAGCAGTATAGAAACCACGACAAATAGAAGAAAGGAGAGAACGTATGGAGGGTTTCGGCCAACGCGGGGAATTTCACTCAGTGGAGAAAATAACATGGGTCCGACGCCATCTTAATATACAATTAAAAGTTTAGCCAGGTATCAATGACTTTGAATAGTTCATGATCTGTCGGAGGGATACAACATACAACCAACCACATATAAGGAGAGAATCAGGGAGACGACCTCTCGAGAATGCCCAAATCTAATCATTATCGGCTCGTAGCTCATAATGCAAATCGAAGATCCGCAGTAAACAATAAAGGAATACAAGCTTTTCCAGTTGCGTTCGATCAGCATGAATAATAAAAATTGTCGGAAACGTGAACACCAGACGTACGAGATGATAACTGTAACCATGATCTTGCATTTCTTAGACCAGTTTTGTGGGTGCGTAGGATCCATGTCTCCATCCCAAGAAAGGATTATAGAGCCCGCAGCTAACTCGTGCTCTAGGCTTCCCAAACGACGGCTTTCCAAACGACCGCGATCTTCTGGAAATGGAGGTTCCTGGCATGTCGTGCCATCTCTTCTTTGGCTGGATATTGATCGGTAGCGCAATAGGTTAATGGCTCGGCCAACAGTCGTCTCCCAAAACCAGAAGGGCATCGGCATCTTGTCCGACCTTAAGGCAAATTATATTTAGTAAAGTAATTGATATGCGAACGGATACCTTGGCTTATATATGTATTGACGAGAATATGTAGTATTTCTTTGTCCCTCTGTGCCCCCACCCCCAGATACGGCTTTGTCACATGATAGACATTCCTTACTGGATAGGTGGGTCAGGCCTGTCGAAACGAAGATAAAAAGTGAGTGAAGATGAAGAGATAGGCCTCAATATCGAAACAATACAGAGAGTGCAGAGGATACAAACACCATTCAGCCAGTCATGTTCCCTCTTCCATGTATCGCTAGCGTTAGGTGAAATTTGCGAAAATGATTCCTACCCATATAAAAATAAACGAAACCTTGTTTTTATGCTACTACGTAGATTGTGTAACGCCAAATTGATTAGTATATGGGTATGGGACTCCTTCCCAATTAAACTCCATTGCTCATTCAATTATTATTATAATTAAAAAAAGAAAAAAAGAAAAAGAGAAAAAAAGAAAAACAAATCGCTCAGAGTCCCTTCCCTATAATTGCAAATAAAGCTCCTCTGACCAGCCTGTTCAAACGTTGCGTAATTTCGTTCTATTTATGAGTACTGTCCACTGTCGTACACACAGGCGAGGTTTGAGGACATAAAAAAACGCCCAGAACCCATGTTTGCCCAGATCCAGGCCTAACTTGAGGATTCTTGCAAACTGAATGTCTACCGCCAGAAGCTGGGGTGGTGAGTTTTACCAGGGTGAGTGATCATAACGCCAAAGCGCTTTCCGCTCATGCTGGCGGTGCATATGCGGGGCTCATTTTAGGAGACTGAGGCTAATTAGCGGGCCAGATGGGTTGCGCGTATGTGACACGTCATGGTTACTTATGCATCTACATCGGCGATGAAAACACCTGCCAAAGTTGTCTTTCTTGTATCGCAGGGGTTTCCGTCGTATCGCTTCTCTATCACACAATGGTTGATTGAGGGTATTAAAGTCCATGTATCAGGGCGCGAAGCTAGCAATTATGCACGGTTGTATTAGAAGCCAATCCAAAATGGGGTCACAGATTAGGCCATGTCAGAAAGAAGACAAGGCGCAGCGTCACAACCAATTATAGGTTCAGCTTCGCCAACGCTGATCTTGAAGTTCAGATCACGTTTCAGACCGACTTTTCTTTTCTACAGACTCCAACAAATCTACATAGTGGCCAATTGGGAACGACGAGAGAGCTCGCAACATGCCAAAAGTCAAGTTCTAAGGTTACCCATAGACACCCGCTCTTGCCCAATACTCGCTCACCGATATGCTTGCGCCAGTAGAAGTCAAAATTCGATTGACTCCTTACTTTAACTAGCGCTAAAGACGTATCATTTACGGTGTGCTACTGGAGACTAACCACTGACCATTTGAATTGGTGGATCTCAATTCACTTTGGTATACTTCTTTCAACCCCTATACGCCGATCTATCAGGAGATTCTAGTGGCCGAGGAGAGTGCTATATAAGGAGGCTCATAGAAAGCACTAACCAAGCATAAAGATTGCTCCGTCCTTATTATTGACTTCTATTCGTACAGGAAAGATGTGGGATTACTATGCCGGGAAGGTGTTGTTTGTCACTGGTGGCTCAGGATTTGTAGGAACCACTCTGGTCTACCGTTTGGTCACTCAAGCTCCTGTTGCTCACATCTATATTTTGTGTCGGGGTGGTTTACTGTAAGATGTTCCATGCTGAGCAAAAATCCTATCATATGAGTTAAGTGGTTGTTAACATTAGAACACTAGGAGGCTAATCCAGAAATGGAGCCAGTGGCTTCCACCAGAGACGGTAAACATAATGACTGATCCTAAAATGGTCACTGTCATGGAAGGAGATATGCTTCAGCCAGATATGGGGTTGAAAAGGCAAGATCTAAGGATACTACGGGCACAAATCAACGTGGTAATACACTCTGCCTCTTCTATCGCTCTTCTCAAATCCTTAAAGAGATTATTTGGGCCTATCATCGATTCCACGAGTCGACTAGCCCGTCTGGCGCTTGATTTTGATCAGCTTGAATGCTTTGTTTTTATCTCCTCGGCATATGCGAACGCCTATATACCTTCTCAAACCGACGGACTTTCTGGAATCAAGATCCAAGAGACTATATATCAATTACAAAGCATGGAAGCTGGTAAAAACGAAAATGAAGAATTGGAGCGGGAGTTACAAGATGTGCAGAAGACAGGAACTTCGTCTTCCTATGATTCACACAACTTCCCATGGGACTATGCATATGCGAAGCACCTAACAGAACGGCTGCTCACTCATGCATTTGCTGCATCTGATAAGCGTCTCCTCATCTTACGACCATCGATCATCGAACCTGCCCAGAGTTTTCCATACCGTCAATTCTGCTTACCTATGTCCACTCCCCATATCATATTTACGGCCGGGATTGCCCTCACCCCATCCAGAACCGCCTGCTTCTCGTCGCAATTCAAAGACCCATACCATCAATCGACTGTGGACTACGTACCAGTGGATGTTGTGGTCGACCGGCTACTAACTCATCTAGCCCAAGGAACTACAGGTCCAGTACATGCCGTTGCGGGTTTAGCCCGGATGTCGTTCGAAGCCACTTGGACCCGAACAACTATCCACCGCCGGATCCCTTGGGCCATCCAACCCAGATGGACGCGTCAATCTTGGCACTCCAAGCTCATCCATCCGCTTGGCCGTTTATACTGCACGATAGGTGCTTCTTTCGAATTCAGTGAGGAGAAAACCTTAGCCGTCTGGCAGCAGCTGTCTGACTCGGAGCGCCAAGGTCTGCACCTATTTACTGATATGGATACTCTTTATCATGACCATGAGCACATGCGGAGCGATCACATTTGGACGTGCATGGAGCATTTGACAAAGCGCCAACAATGGGCTCGGTGGATGTCAAAGTGTCTTTATCGTTCTCTGGCATCATTTAAATCCTAGGTGATGAGAGAAATAAAGACTTTCTGTTCCCCTCATGTCTCTAAGAGTGCTCGCTTCAGGAGTCAGCCCGGTTAGAAATTTCAACGTCCAATTTTTTTTTAACTAGCGATGATAGGTCCAGTGATCCCCGTCATATAGGCGGTTAGAGCCCCAAAAATCCCCTAGCACCCAAGAGGGCAAACAGTACCTGAATCTACCAGCTGGCGGAATATATTTGTGTGCTCAGAGATGATTATATTCTTTGGTGTTGAAAAGTCACCCACCAATGCTCCATATTATCATCGACAAATATCATAAAGAGCTCATACAAAATGTGAGTTTTAATTATCATCATGAAGACTAATCACGATAAAGACTCAAAATATCCTGCATATCTGTCTTTTGCGTGATTATTTCCACGAATTTGCGTAATTACTTGTTACCTCCCGTTCCTTTGGCCATAATCGACCTCCCAGCTGCGTGAGGTACAGCCATAGCCCTTGCCTGCACAGTGCATATGTCCTGCTATCTCAGAAAGACGGAACAGGTATAGACTGCGACATTGCCCATGGACGGGCTTGTGGGCAATGCCCATGGACATTATGTAAGCGGGCAATGCCCATAATGGGCCTGCCCGTGGACGGGCCTAGGGGGTAGGGCCCAACGCCCAACGCCCACTACGCCCGTCCATGGGCCTTTCTTGGCATCGAAAACGTGACTTATACTATTTATCCAATTTTCTTATATATGTGACACCCATAAGTCAGCAGGTTATGCGTCCCTTTTGGGCGATTTTATGTAAAATTAAGCGAGTGGGCATTGCCCAGCCCATTGTGGGCAATGCCCATGGGCCAAAATGGGCGGGCGTACCTAGACCCAAAATGCCCAAGGCCCACCGTGGACGGGCGATGGGCCTTACCTTAAGGCCCATGGACGGGCATTGTCGCAGTCTAAACAGGTAGCTTCCTCCTTGCATTGTGATACATCTGATTATCAGAGGATCGACGTAGCTGCGGTGAAGATCACCCAGCCCATTCTTCTCAGTGGATTAGGGTTCCTGTACCCAAATCTCTGAGCTTTAACAAGCCATTACTTCCAACATACCAGCCTATGAAAGACCGTTCTAGTAGTCGAAAACCGGCTCAAAGGATATGCTTATATAAGCAGTATTGATATATATTATATTTTTCCCTATCGCAATATATCATTTAGATTATAAAAGTAAAGACTATTTATTTTTAGCTATTTAATTAGATTTAATATAGAGGTTCAAAGTTGCGATCCCGAGACGGGTATGTTTAGACTTCCGCATAACTGTCAGGACCACTGACTGACGATACCAACTACGGCCTGAGGCATACTTAGATGCCATGGCAGTATCATGTTGTTGGGCTTCACCGCCCGCAGCCGGGCCAGTCTGTATTTAAGTGAAGCCCCGCTGGACCTGAGAAGGGCCAGCGTTCAGTTTATCTTACAATCCACTACATTGTATTACACGCATATGAAGGTGTCTACCTCGCTTACCCATCCTGACCTAGAGACTACTGCATGGTCTCACAATGTGATAACACGGCCTTGTATGGGGATACGAACGGTCACGTTACCCTACTTTTTCTGCCATACGGCACCGCCCTTAAGGCATATTTCTATCCTTTCGTACACTTACTTAGCAATACACACCTTTCCACCTCCAGAATCTCAATAGGAACCTCATTATAATTAAACGAAAATATCACAAACCCTGATTGTAATCAAATCACTCGGGAAACCCTAAGCCCATACTAACGGATGCTTAGTCAGTTGTAATGAACTTGATCACAACCACCCCCATGGGATAGGCCAGGCAAGGCTAAGGAGAAAGGGGGTAGAATCTAGATCTACTGTTAAGAAGGATCGGCTAAAGTGAATTCCTGGAGTTATTTCTTAAGTACGGAGATTGCCATAGTCGAGTCCAGGCCTAGCCACTCTTTACGATAGCCTTTTAGGTGGGTATTAAGGTAGGTAGGTGGAACAGCATACCCACAGGAGATGCATACCAGCACCTGGTATTCTGGGAGATAGCGAAAATATTCCATCATAGCCTCTGGTGGGATCGACGCATTCAGCGAGCAACGGCGGTTTAAGGGGATAACGCGATGTATTTGACCAAGAGTAGGAGAGCGGAGAGGAGGTGGAGAAGGCAGATGATGATGTGGTCCAGGCATCGATAGGTCGCTTGTCCATCGGGATCCTCATAGACCACCTAGATTGATCAACTGATAATCCTCAACGAACTTTACTAGGACGCGCTCGTTCCTAACCTACGCGTCGCGTGCGTGGCGATTTCCGGCAGAGTCAGTGGTAACTACTGGGGTGGAGCCTCCCACACCCCCAGGGAACCAATAGGTGTGCAGACAAGTCGGAGGGAGCCCTCCCTCCTTTAAGGCATTATGGATTAGACCGGGAGTGGTAAACCCTGTATAGACATGAAAAGATACATATAGTTAAGGTAGCCTGAATATGTTTAGTCGCGAAGAGCCAGGGTAAATGAATAACACATACACGCACAGTACCAATAAGACAGGGACACTAAATTCACTGAAGGTAGAAATTATATCGCCATTTGGAAGTAGGATAGATCAAAGCTTGATTTGTAGTGCTTTCAATCAGTGTTTAATAAGGATAAGCCTCCATATATTCCCAGCTAAATCATTGCACGTAGCCTTCCTCGCGTAATTGGCGCTTGATAAATCCCTTTGGCTTCCGCAACTACTTCACCGTCATCAAAGCTTCCAATCTGTCCTGCATTGGGCCCAAGGATTCCAATTTTTCCTTCTATCCACGCTTTACTTCCATCCACCTTCAGAACGTCTGCCTTCAGTACATAAAATTTATCCGTCGGGGCTGGCTTCCGGAATTTGACATTCAGATTAGCCGTCACTGTGATTCTATCCGAAAACAAGAGAAAAGAGCAGCTTGCCAATCCTTCATCTAGGATCGTAGCCAATAGACCGCCATGTACAACTCCAGGATAACCGCATACAGCAGCCCCGAGATAGAAGACTAGAAAGAGAGTCTTGCCATTCTTGTCGCGAAAGGAAAGTGGAGGCACAATGATCTTTCCCGGTCCTAATAGGCTCCCGGTAGTGAGCATGAGCGTCCGAGTAGCTTCTGGGATGCTTTCGTAGAATCGCTTTTCAGTGAAAGATATATTTGAGCGGATAGATTGGGTGAAAGGGTGCATTTGGAGCTGCTGTTCGACCTCCTTTGAGATCTCATCGTCGGGGATGTAGTGGACTGGTGATCGGGCTTGTTTGGTCGCCATATCAAATTCTATCAGTTGGAGAGATTATAGGAAGGGTAAATTTGGTCAATGAATGAAAATGAGCTTTTCTGAAAGGGAGTAGCTTATTGGGGTTGCCTCACAATGCCTGTAACCTCACGTGATGTCTACACCGACATTACTAGAGGGCCTCTTTCTCCTACAACTGCCTCACGAAAGTCAGTTGCTTGCCTCTGCGGGTAGCTCGTTATCTTTCAAGCAGTTAAGCCTCGATTTTGTCCCTCCCACCTTCCCTCTCTATATAGAATCCACTACAATACACAATACAGACACATTATCACCCTACAAGGGAGCGCGAACGGGGCCTATCTGACGCTACGGTCTACGACCGCAGCGACAGGTGACCCGCTATGGCCAAACTACAGTCTTCTTGCTCCTCTTAACTGCGTGAGGTCACCAATAAAGTAAGATCAATAACCAGGCAGGCAACTGATTTATATAAGCACCCGCATTGATCACCGTATTCAGAAACGCTTTCCATGTTGTGATCTTAATTTAAAAAGCCAAATCCACGCTATACAGGTAGTAATAAAATATCAAGCCTTGGGAGCTCTTTAGATTGGTATAAATTCTCACCGCCAGTCTCATGGGTGGCTACGAGTAGATGCTTAGATGCCGAATACCTACGTGTGCCAATAATATACGTGGCAACTACAAACCAGCTACATTTACAGTTACTATTTACTACTGGCTGAAAAAGAAAAAGAAATAATTATGGAAAAGGCCCCTTGCTTTAGATATTGCGTATATTGCGGACATACTATATGAAAAGTCTGTGCATTTACATAAAGAACCATTAGTTAAAAACCTTTTGACCTTCCGCACTTCATGTAAGCATGACAGTATGCAGAGATCCCTTGCCGCAAATATCACCGACAGCGCACGCCTACATGTGATATAAACCAAATCTCTCATCTAACTGCTCTTAGAACAGCCTCGCTATTTCAGACCCAACCAGTAATGGCAAACCCACCACTTCCTTTCCCAACTAATAGCAAGATGTGACAGAGCATTTGCCACGTCTCTCTCGTTTTCCCAAAATAAAGCTCTTCAAACAGTGGACTCGTGGATAACTATTGCTTAAGTGCTGGGTACCTTCCTCGGTATCACGCCTTCTTCTAGTAACCATGGGGGTCCTCCTACGTATCGCCCTTGAGAAAAGAATAACACAATGAGAAATGATCATGCTGCAAGGAACAGTATTGCACGTCGATGGATGCTTTATTGTATTCCTATTTCACGGTTTATTGGAGCCCGACTGCAGATAGACCTTAATGCCGAGTCAAGCATAAATGTATAGCATATTAGTTTCGGTTTTCTTGTCTACGCATCAACCCTTGCAGGTCCATCACGGCGCCAAAATCATTCCTTGGAGCCACGACCGTCTTCGCCTGACGACTAAAATGCAACTTGCTCTGCGTATAATGACTATATTTCAAAAAAAAAAAAAAAAAAAAAAGAAACAAATAATTGGTTCAAGTGATCGATCGTAGGTCTCAGGTTCTACCGCGAACCCTTACTTCGCGTACCGTGTGGGCATGATCATCTGAGACGAATGTGAATATTTATGTAAAGGGTTCACCTTTCCCTGGTCTGCATTGGAGACCGAGTGTAGGAATCAATCCTGTATCACAAGTCTACGACCCGGTCCAGTTCTTGCTGGAACTGGCCCTCTCATTAAGCATCATGACTGAGAGCATTACCCTTGAGTCATTTGGGGCCCTTTATCGGCAGCATATACCGTACTGGCGGTTGCTGACCGATCAAGGAATCATCACCCGGGAGATTCTTGCATTCGAATATGTCGGCGCTGGCACTGATAACGATCCCTTTGCAGTGACCTGGATCCCAAACGACCCGAGAAATCCACTGTTGTTTAGCACGGTCAAGAAGGTGATCATAACCCTGGCTATCTCTTTCTCCACTTTGACTGTTTCTTTGACCTCCTCGGCCTATAGTGGCAGCATTCACCAAGTTATGTTATATTTTGAGGTTAGCACCGAGGTCGCCACCGTGGGCCTCTCTTTGTTTGTATTTGGGTTTGCTGTTGGGCCCTTGTTCTGGGCTCCACTCAGTGAGGTGCTCGGGCGACAGTTGCCTTTCTTCATCAGCACATTAGGAATGGCTGTCTTTTCCGCGGGTTGCACCGGGGCCAGAAATATTGAAACGCTTCTCATCCTTCGTCTCCTGGCGGGCGCATTTGGTTCATCTCCGCTCACTAACGGTGGTGGTACCATCTCGGATATGTTTGTGGCCCGACAACGCGCATTGGCGATCAGTCTCTACGCCGCCGCCCCCTTGTTGGGCCCTACCTTGGGCCCCATAATTGGAGGGTTCATAGGCATGAAGGCTGGGTGGCGATGGGTAGAAGGTTTCCTTGCAGTGACGGCCGGACTGGTATGGCTTACCATCAGTATCGCTGTGCCGGAAACCTATGCACCCTTACTTCTGCGTCGTCGCGCCAAGACCCTATCGCGCGTTACGGGCAAGGTATATCACAGCAAGTTTGATTTGGGCAGAGAAAAACAGTCCACATACCGGCTGCTGTCAAATTCCATGTCGAGGCCGTTGATATTGCTCTTTAGCGAGCCAGTTGTGCAACTCTTCTCGGTTTATGGAGCTATTATATATGGCACGCTATATATGCTTTTTGCTGCCTTTCCGATCGTCTACGAAGAAGGAAGAGGATGGAACCCGGGTGTGGGTGGGCTGGCGTTTCTCGGCGTCATGATTGGGATGATCTTTGGCATGTTAATGACTATCCCGGTTAATATACTTTATCGGCGCGTGCAAGATGCGAATGAAGGATACGCGCCCCCAGAGGCCCGTCTGCCAGGGATGATGCTTGCTGCGATTGTCACTCCTATCGGCCTATTTTGGTTTGCCTGGACTAACTCAGAGACCATTCAGTGGAGTGTAAGTGTTATTGCCGGTGCACTATTTGGGTTTGGCATTGTTCTGATCTATCTGGGTATCATGAACTATCTTATTGACTCCTACACAATTTACGCTGCCTCGGTACTGGCCGCAAGTGCCATCCTGCGCTCTGTCTTCGGCGCGGCCTTCCCGATTTTTACCAATTACATGTATCGAAGCCTTGGTATCCATTGGGCATCCTCCATCCCAGCATTTCTCACTGTCTTGTGTATGCCGGCACCCTTTCTTTTTTACAAGTACGGGCCGGCGATCAGAGCCCGTTGCAAACACTCTGCCAAATCCCAGATCTATATGGAAAGGTTATATGCGAATGCGGCTTCATAGTTTAGAATAGCTGATATGTTTCCGTCTTGCATAGTGACATTGGAACGTCCTCGCAACTACATGGGGGATAAAAACATGGAAGGAGACGTTAATGCGAGAAAATCGGAGTGGATACTCTAATTGAGACAATAATTCAGCTTTTTAAAAAAGTGAAATAATTATAAAAAGGGTTCTTTTGAGAAGAAAACAAAACTATAAGTGAAATTTGAAAAGAATAGGCGTTGAAGAGTAAAGTTGAAGAAAAGATCACAGAGTCACCATGCAAAAGATTATGCAACCTTATGAAGCTCCAGCCCCGGCGATGGTCGTAATTCACGACTATTTTAATACCTGTGATGAAGCCTTTTGAATGCTGTACTTTATTTGCGGACCACTTTGGTCAGGTCTAGGGTAGAAAAGGCTTTTGGCTATCGAAAATCTTCGAGGAAAAAGGCAGCTCCTTGGGGAACTATTCTCCCTTTCATATGGGGAGGATCCTAATACCCCTTCCCTTACCACTAATTATATTTGCACATATGCAGATGGCGATTGTTGCTCATCTCTCCATTACCGTCTATGCACTAGACCGCATTTGAATTGACATAGGCCTACATAAGCAGCCCATCCTATAAGTCATCACCGCATAGACGGCTATTGTTACCATACAACATTTCCAGCAATACCAGTTAATCATGCACAATCTCAGTTGTTGGATTCATGGAATGTTCTGTAAACTAGATATATCGTGAGCAAACTCTGGTAGCAGCCCTCTAGCGCTATACTTTGACTATTTTCACACTATGCTACAAAAACATCATGATTAAGAAGTAAAATTCGGTGAAGAAGCAAATGTCGGTGAAGAAATAAACTTGGGTGAAGAAGCAAACTTCGGTGAAGAAGCAAAATTCGGTGAGTAGATGTCCTCCACTCCAATGCTAGTCAGAATTGCTGCATAAGTGATCTACGCTTTCCTGTCCCCTTTGTATAATATTTCAGGCCTACGCAATCAAATTGGGCACTGGAAACGAATACTTATATAGCGTGTAAGAGTGGAAAACGGCTAGTTAGAAGAAAAAAGATTATTCTCGGCCGAAATCAAATTCCTCAAGCGCCTCAGCCTGACTACGGACTTGAATCCCCATCTCTGTGCCAACACCAACCATGTCTCACAGCCCCCCCCCTCCTCTGTTCAATTATACCTATTCATACTTTCATAATCTCATTTCGATGGACAACCCATTTCTGCCCACTCTATGGTATCATTACGTGCCTGCTATCGCCCCTGTCTTATGCTTTGTCCTATACAAAACAGTTTCTCTCCTTAGGGCTCGGGCTACTCGATACAAAATCTTTCACGAGTATCGATGTCAACCCCTCCGCACGTACCCTCATTCAGATCCTATTTTTGGACTTGACATCATGTGGGAGGCCTTCATTAGTTTGAAGAGACGCACGTACCTTGAGGACAACCAAGAAAGATTCAGATTATATGGCAATACCCTCCAATATAAGGTGCTTGGAAGGAGAAGTGTGTAAAAACTCCGTCAAAGTACGTGGCTGCCGGCTGATTATAAAATCACAGTCATCAAGACCGTGGATCCCAAAAACATCCAGACCATTCTCGCACGGAACTTCCAAGACTACTCACTTGCGAATCAGCGGCAGGGGTTCTTGTCCATTCTGGGACATGGGATTTTTACTACTGATGGCCAAGCTTGGAGCGACTCGCGTTCAATGCTGCGGCAGAATTTCAAGGGCATACACGAACGGGTGGAAATGTTTGAACCACACATCACCAAAATTTTTAATGCTATCCCTACAGATGGAACAATTGTTGATCTCCAGAGCCTATTTTGTGATCTGACCTTGGACACAGCTACTGAATTCCTCTTTGGGGGATCAATAGATTCTTTAAACATGGGAACTGGTGGACATCGTGAACAGAGCTTTGCCCTAGCATTCGACTATTGTATGGCTCAACTGGGAAATGACATTCGAACTGGCCGACCAGTTTGGTTTCCGGATCAAAAGCTCAAACGTTATACTAAGGTCATCCATAGATTTGTTGACGTGTACGTTCACCGCGCTTTGGAGGTGTCAGACCACAGCGAAAACAACATTGAGCAAAAGCATCCCGTTTTTCTTCACGACTTGGCCAAAAAAACCAGAGATCCCATTGTCCTGCGTTCTGAGGCACTCAACATCTTACTCGCTGGCCGCGATACGACCGCCAGTCTCCTGAGTAACATGTGGCATACACTAGCCAATCAACCAGATATTTGTCAAAAGCTTCGCTCTGAGGTTGACGCGCTAGGTGGGCATCGACCAACCATTCAGCAGATTAAATCTATGGAGTATTTACGTTTTTTCATTAACGAGTGTACGTGGATCTATACATCTTGGGAGTGAAACCCTTGTAGCACCCCACATTGCTTGGTGAATATATGATAACATGGATCATTTAGCTCTCCGTCTATATCCAGTCGTACCAGCAAACATCCGTACGGCAGTCCGGGATACGATACTTCCCGTCGGCGGTGGGCCTGACGGAAAGTCTCCTGTCTTCGTTCCAAGGGGAACGTCAGTGTCTTATCACCCATATGCCTTACATCGGAGAGAGGATATATTCGGACCCGATGCGATGGAATTCAAGCCTGAGCGTTGGAAGAAACTAAGACCTGGTTGGGCATACATACCGTTCAACGGAGGACCTCGCATCTGCCTTGGACGTAAGCTTCACTTCAAGCAATCTCAGGCTCTTTCACCTAACACGTCACGAACATAGAGCAACTTGCCCTCGCCGAAGCCTCATACACAACAATTCGGCTCCTCCAAGAATTCAAGACTATCGAGGCTCGTGGTCCTAGAGAATGGCGAGAGCACCTCACACTCACCTGCACAAGCGGTGTCGGGGTAAAGGTTGCTCTTGGCCGCTGACTTGTGATTTTCAATGCGCTGTTAAGGGATGTGAGGTTTTGGTCACCTATCCCATGGGGGTAATTGCAGTGAACTTGACTGCAATTTAGTGAGCATCCGTCTGTATGGCATTAGGTTTTCCCGAATGACTTGACTGCAATTACATTTCAAAGTTGACTGCAATTAGCTTCCCAACGGATTTTGCCATCCAGATTTCCGCTAGTGTAAGTTTCACCATTTATTTAGATTTTTCCCACGTTTCAAGCCCATTCCACGATTCCATAGGCTGGTTATACGAATTCGAAGTAGAGGAGTTTTTTGAGAGGGTCCCGCCCGACTATAGTAGTAGTAGTAGTAGTAGTAGTATTCTTTAACCCGGTAAAGCTCACTTTAAATACATGCTGCTATGCGGGGTGCTTCGAGCCATGCCCGAAGCGGAAGATAATGACTTTCCCTATTGCCACTGGGACAGGGAAGCCCATTCTCCCTTGCAATTTTGCAGCAAAGCTGCAGAATTGCGTACGGGGTGGAGGAACTGGAGTATGGAAGTTTTAGTAGTCGAAAACCGGCTCAAAGGATAGTCTTATATAAGCAGTATTAATATATATTATATTTTTCCCTATAGCAATCTGTCTTTCAAATTATGGAAATAAAGACTATTTATTTTTAGCTATTTAATTAGATTTAATATAGCGGTTCAAAGTTGCGATCCCGAGACGGGTACATTTGGTCCAAAATTCCCAAAGCGGACATGGTCCAAAATATAGGAGAATAGCTTAGTCCGAAATACATAAGGTCACTCCTACATTTCGGACTACGCTATTCTCCTATATTTCGGACTAAGGCCTTCTCCTCTATTTTGAACCACGCCTTTCTCCTATATTTTGAACTATACCTTTCTCCTATATTTTAAGCCACTATTGTAGTGGTGGAACGCATGACATAATGTTGGAATTTGGACCAATGCTACATTAGGTGAAGGTATCCTCTTATTCAACATAAGAAGAAGAAGAAGAAGAAGAAGAAGAAAAGAAAGAGATGCGAACATGATTTACCCCTCCAAACCACTTACCCCTCTTTACCCCACCAGATCGATGACATATCCCTCATCATGCCATCAGTTCTATCACATTTCCTTCCCTGATTCTATTCTGTTTATCTGATATAAAGCATGTGACTTTGACCACTTTCTGTCTATAAATACGCGCGAGACTCTATACCTACAGTCGTGACCTTGTAACAACCTAAAATATAGGAATTGGGACCTGAAATAGACATCATATTGTAGAACTCAGCTTAAAGAATGTAATGATACCCTCCAATTTTCTTTATACAATCTGGTTATTAAGTTATTCATCCTTAAATTTCCTTAATTCGGTTGATTCTGCCGTCGCGAACTCACTAGCCGTATGGGGCGGGATGGATGCGGGGAAGGACCGCCTTCCTAAATAAGTTATTTTCGTGATCTACGCTAATACCGGATAGGTTATTTTCGTGACCTAAGCTAAACCTAATTAGTTACTTCTTAGGGGTTTAGACCCCTAACGCTCGTCTAGCGCCTCCCTACTCGCCTAGGTATTTCCTCTATTTAGCCCTAAAAACACCAATTGTCATTCTAAGAGTACCGCGGACGTAATCACTCTCTAAGTCCTCTATACAGGAAAAGGACATATTGATAATTCTAAAGATTCCCACGCGACACCGCGGGTGGTGTCGATATCTTAAGGTCTGCTCGGCGCTATTCGTAGTTCTCTATTTTATAACACCCGTAAGCTTCTCAACTAAACAAAGTCACCGAAACCTTCTACAAAAACACCAAAAGACACACTGATCAAGTATTATACATTTCTAACCTAAATCTCTCCTAATGTATTCGCAATCCGCTGTAGCATCGCTGGGCTTATTGAGATCTGCCTAAACTCCTTTGGTATTAGGATTTCTTATCTAAAAGTCGGGATCATTAGTATGTATTCCATTTTCTTATCCTATTCCGAGTATCTCACCTTAACATCCAGGCCTTAATCGTCCGTAGTTTATCTTTGAGATCGACCTAGGTCCGATCCTTTAATTGCGGCTCCGCCATTTAGTCATCTATCGCCTTAATCTGGGCCTAGGAATTTCCGTGTTCAAACCATAGTCTTAGTAACCGCTTCACCTCTCTATTCCGCTATTTTAGATGGTGGCGGTATGGTCGACCTGCGACACGCTCTTAAGCCTGGCGTTTCGGAGGTAGGTTCCTTCTTATATGCTTTAAGACCTCAGATTCCCTTTCTTACCTCTCTGCCTAGTAGGAAGGGTCAGGTTTCCGTAATATCCCTCGCGAGAGTAGTTCTGCTTTGCGCCCTAGTCGACTCGCCAGTATCTTATTCACATTTATCTCGTGGATCACACTAGCATCGGTGCCATCTAGCGTCGGCTCGGGTTGGTCGTCGGACCAATCTTCCCCTATCGTTGTTGCTCGTCTCGTTCGTTCCGAGCTCTCTGGTCTCTCATTATTCTACTTAGGGGGCTCTGGGGAACTATTCCTCGTTGCGGTCTCGCTCCTAATACCGGTTATTAAGGAGGCCCGTACAGTCGTAGCTCGTGGTATCCATTCATAGACACGGTCATTTAACTGCTCTGATAGTAAGGTTTCCGAATGTCGAGTTGATATCTCGCGTAATATAACAGGGTCAAGCCCTCCGCCACGGTCAGCCTAAGGAGTGCCAATATGACTTAATGGCGTAGGTACACGAGAGGCTGAGCTAGAGAGACTCGGTTGACTCGATAAATTCCTTTCTTTATCGCGTCCGCTATGTGGCGGTTTTAGCGACACCCATACCTTTTCGCGGTCTAGTCCCGCCGGTGGCGGTAAATCCCGCTGATCCGATTGAAGTATTACAGTATGCTATTAACTCTCCCGCCTATGTGTGCTACTCGACCCTGTGGTAGGCAGGATCGCCTTACTCTTGAGCTTTGTCAACCACCCTAACGTCCCTTGCGATCGAGATATTACTTACGATCGTATCGAGGATCGTCGAGGTTCCTGGTCATTGTCTGAACTCAAAATCTTAATAACTCTTCCTACGTCTAGCGTCGGTCGAGTGTTTTGGGCGGTCGCGTTTGAAGTATCGCGACGTACCTCGTCTACTCCTATAGTTAAATAAGTCGCTCTCACGTCTCGTAGCTAAAAATATACCTTAGAAATCCCGTATAGTTCGTCGGGCTCGATTGGCTCGGACCTTCTTAATTTTCTATATCCCATAAAGCCCCCTAACCTTTGTAGTGGTCGGTAGCCGGTTCGAGTTAACAGTTAATAGGGATCTAGCGTCCGTTTAGCGCCCGCTCGCTCTTTTGCTAGCTATAGACATATTCCGAGGACGGTAGATAGGAGAGGGGTTGGGTTTCACAGTAGGAGAAGAGTGATAGAAAAATAAGTTAGTTCCGAGAATTCTAGGAACGGGGGATGGTAGGTAACCCCTAAATTTCGAGCGCCCGACTAAAGTGTGTAAGCAGACCTATTAATATAGGATAAAGCCGTGTTAACGGGTTAGCATAAGCGCTAGGAAACGATTAATCACATTATAATCAGATTCTCCGTAAGAGACTCTTGGATTCAATCCTTCTTTTTCGTCCACCCAAGCTGAACGCCTAAATATGCTCCCTCGTGGGCGTCCTCGGCTACATAAAGACGACCATAGTCGGTGGCGGACTCATACAGCTTATCGCCGAGGCTAGCAGGCTACCGGCTTAGTTTCGGCCGATCCTTTCCCTTATTTTCTCTTTTATGACCCTCGTGCCATTCCAAAGGCTCCCCTAGCCGATAGTCCCGCTAGAACGGTCCTAGACAGCGTTCACGACGCCCTTAACGCTATATCGCTCCCACGCGAGACGGATATTCTTTCTATAACCTCGCCCGTTGAGGAGACGGCAGACCCAGTCGTGGAAGACGAAAACATTCCTGGCTTTAACGATGAACTGCCAGATAATAGTAGTTTATTATCTCGTGTACGATTCATGTAGCTATACTAATATATGAATCTTATAGATTCTCCCTAAATATATCGACCCCCAATAGTCGAAACGATAGTCGAAACAATACCCCCGAGCCCTGAGCTAGGCCCAAGCCTATCACCCCTTTACCCCACTAGCGAAATATTATCTCTAAGGCCACTCGACCAAGTGCTAGCCATCGCGTTAAGCGTAGGTGTTAATTAGTTACCTCCTGGACCACTCGCTATGGCTCTTGTCGACCAGTTCGAACAACCCTATCGGTGCTAGCAACATCCTAGTGCACCACCCTCTAATCAAGTCTCTCTATCTATGATCTATGGGTGGTCCTGCCCTAATGTTCTCTCTCAGCCGGTAATCGCCTAGTATAGGGTCGATTGGAATATCCTATTTCCTAACGAATAATGGCGGAAGGTATTCACCGGCCTTCCAGACGACTATCCTATATCTCTTATCGAGCCTTCTCCTCTCACTCCGCCAATCAGTCTCGATCTTGAGTCCAATAATATAGGAAATGCCGAGAACTTCGAGGTCTGGCTAGATATCGATAGCGTAGGGGGAATTGCCTCGAATTTAGCTGTCGCGCGGGAGGGCATCGCGTGGAAAGCTGGTCGCGACGCGATCAGTAACCTTCGGAGCTCCCTATACCTTGATTACCTGCCAGTTCGCTGGTATGATCCTTCTAGTAGACGGCACCGAAGCCGCCATCGGCCTATTCACCAAATTCCTTACCTCCTATTTGGGGAATTAGCCAGCTTCCGCGAGGTTGAACTTTATCTTATCTTCCCCGGACTTTACGACCCTACCCGGGACTACTGGGTGATCACCCTAGAGGAATACGAGGTATGGACAAACCGGATCTTTATGCCCTCGTTAGGAAAAGTCTATCCCAATACGACCGTCCAGCATATGCCATCAAGCGCGTAGCATATCCGGCTTAATGGTACTATAGCGTCGGTGGAAGGTCGGGCTCATAGGGCACTAGATACCTCGTATACGTAGAATTTCCACTATCCCCTTTAAGCCGAGCTCCTCCCCGCGCTTTGGGACGAAATCCAGGCCTGCACTACAGAGACCGGGCTCACTTAGTTCCAAGACGCCTCAATCGTACTTACCGCGAAGAACCTTAAGCTCTCCACTTGGGGCCGCACCTGGATATAAGCGCGCGACCTCTTCTTCCGGAGGTGGAATCGAGCCGTTAATGCAGCGTATCTCTAACAAGACTTTTACGATATTGCTAAGGAAGTGGTGCCAGCTAGCCCGACTACCGCGTAGGAAGATACCCTATCTCTGCCCCTCACCCTAAGCTGGCGTCGTTACTGTCTGGACGGATTTTGTCGCTGGCTAGCCCAGCGTGCGGCGGAATCAGGGTCTCTCTCTAACGAGTCTTCGTCTCTGGTGGCATCAGAGCCCTATATAGATCCTATAGAACCATCTAGTAATCCTGAGGACAATCAGTCAGACGATTCATCTACCGAGGAAGACTTAGCGGCTGCAGAACCTCCCGCTGAGGAGCGCCCCGCCTGGCGATAAGAGTTCTACCCCTAGTCTCTTACCCGGGATCAAGGCTCTCTCACTATGGCGCCTTTCACGCGAAGTCCCCTTCGTAAAGGGGGGTTTATTATACGGTTAGCTCTATAATACGTCCAAAGATATTTTTGCCGCGGGAAATGTTTATCCGTTCGCGAATCAACGGCTTGACACACTTGTATTAGATCCTAGTATGCTCCGCTCGTGGCAGCATGTTGGTGGTACCGTCAGCTATTCCCCCCTAGCTCTGATTCGCGCGTATCTCCACACCAAGTAGCGCTACCATACCGCCCTCCAGGGTTATCGGTCTCGCTTTTATGGCACACGGGAGGAATACTGGGTCACCGGCGCCATTCTAATAGCGATGGATGAGATCCTTCAGTAGCGTTATCTTACCTATCTCCCCCTCCTAGCCCCCTAAGGCCCCTATCCGTTCTTTGCCCATCCGACTCTATTGATCCAGGACTGGTGGCGCTGGAATATCAATAAGCTCTGCCTCGGGTTTGAGATGACCTATAGTCTCTGGGATCGCACCGTTGTGCATTGGGAGCATACCCGGGTGATAATGATGTTTCTTAAGTGTCTTGGCTTCGTATATAGCGGGTAGGGGAAACATCTTCGCTAGAGCCTTGGCCTCTGGATCGACTGGCGTCACCGGCCTCCCCCAGAGGGGTTAGATACCGAACAGGTCTAGGAGGGGATAGGGATGGGTAATTGGCTCGAAGGGTCTAGGTATGCCTGGTTAGCGGACAAGGTCGACTGGGCTATGATGGTGTTCCGTCCGTTCTGCCGTCGCTATATAGTTTTTAATACTCCTAGTGTCCAGTCCGCCTACCACGGGCGGTATTAGGAGGTGAAGGAAGCTAAGGCGGAGTTTCTGCTCTTCCATGATATCACCCTGCGCCTCCATAAGTATCTCCCAGATCCAGATCGGTTTGCGTTGCTTCTCCAACTCCTTTGTGATCTCTGTCTACGAGCCTTCCGCCAGGAGGTCTTCCGTCACCTTGCCTATCGTAAGACCACTTAGCCCCTCCATTCCTAACGGATCGCTATAGCCCGGTTAGGGAATATTCCGTTGACCTTTACGGGGGTGCGGTCTATCTTTGAGAGTGGGATTCTAGAAGACGACCTCCACTTCGCACATAAGGCGTATATTAAGGTGACCTATATCGATACCCTTTTTATCTGGCTCTAGGGCTGGGATAGGGATGGCAATCAGGGCGACTGGCCGCGGAAGCACTGAGAGTATAAGCCCTACCGAATTCTCTATCGCTAGTGTTATGGAATCATCGCGTAGACCTATGGCATAAGGCAAGCCCGGGCGTGGCGCTAACTGGTCAAGGATACGTGGATCCGAACTCACTGGATCTTGCTATACCCGAGCAATAAGACGTTCTAGTCCCGTACCCGTGACGGGAAGCTCTAGACCTGGTCGAGTATCCATCTTGGTGTTATAGCATTCTACTAGCGGTAGGGCTCCGGGTCTCTGTCCTTTTCCTCCGACGATTGGGATATACTTCCGGTTACTAGGTAGGAATACGGTATTACCATATGCCCGTTCCAAATTACGCTTCCTATCATTCCAGAAGATCTCGCGCCTATCCTTGCAGTTATAGAACTATCGTCACCCACGATTTCCCGCCCCGAAATCCCTCTCCCACACCGGGGTATGCGTGACACCGCCCTCCTTCAGTATCTCCGTAAAATCACGCCCGTATATCGTGAACTACGCTCTTTCTGCCGGCGAAAAGAAATTAATAAGGACAAAGTCTATGGTAACCCGAAATGGCTCCAGCGATATCTCGTTTATCACCTTCGGGCCTCTATCGTTACGCTCCAGTAGGAGATTACCAGTCTCGACTATCCAATTATTAGGAGTCGGTAGCGGGCTTGATATCGACCTAGCTAGGAGAGTCTTGGGTGGCTCACTCCTTAGCTTAATAATGAGGACTCGGATTTATATAACTACCGCGCTCACCGAGAGCGACTAAACCGCCGCCTACGGCGAATGCGTAACCGCCTCTAGGAGGCCGAACGGGCGCTAGCGGTATGCCGGGATGCCTAGTTAATTATTACTTGTTACCGGCTATCTCACGAAGGCCCTTTGAAGGGGATGGACTAGAAGACGTGGAAAAGGGAGCACGCACGCTATGAGGAAGCACTTTGGCGGTAGATTTTATCACGTAGAACGCTTAAAAGTATATTAAAGTATTCCGTGGGGCCCTAGTTCTAGTCTTACGGACTTCTAGTATATATAGTTTTTAATTTATTCCCGCCCTTTATAATTCTTCTGGCTTTTTCTTATAGAGCTTAAGTTAGCCTTCTCTCATCTAGACTATATCTCGGGACGGAATAACCGCCCCGCCCGCTAATCATGCCCTATTTACGGTACTCTCATCACGGTACTCTTATCACGGTACTATCATTAACGCTTGGTTAGCTATTCGAGATCATGGCCGAAGAACCGGCTATCTAGCCCTTACCTAGTCCACCGCTTGAGGCTCTCCGCGAAACTTTCTACTATTATACCCCGTTTCGTATTATGATCTGCTAACCATACCGGTGCGTAGTATTCGACGCATAGATTAATCGGCATCTTCGCCTCTATTATAAAGGCTAGGATAAGGCACAGTTCCGTCTAAAGGAAGTCCTCTCGTATTTTGAGGACTTCCCTCTACGTATTCGATCTGTGGAAGATCTGGTACTCCCGTCTGAGCCTATCCCGGCCGTATCTTTCCTTTTAATTAACTAGGATACATTCTAGTGTGGCGAATCGTCTTGCCGCTGGATCGGGGGAACCTTGCTTCGTATTCAAGAGCATTACCGACATCAGCATGGATGGACTGCTCCCCCCGCATCCGACTGGCTGACCTCTATCGCTCCGTGGGCCCCTATTCTAAGCCAGCGGTTCATCCCTTGGGGACCTGGTTCCTAGCGATTCGCCGTTTCCCCCCCTATATCAGATGATAGTCTCTTATATTATCCGCCAGCGAAGACGTCCACTCCTCTATCGAAGCGGCTACCACAGCCTAGCGCCGCTCCGGCTAAGGTTCTATCGCCCAATGCGCCAGCGAGGTTGCCACTCCCTAATCCGCCACAACAATCTAGCGCCTCTCTAACTAAGAGTCCGTTGTCTCGAGAGCCAGCGAAAACACCGACCCTTCTATCCAGTCCGCCTATAGCGTCTAGGCTTTCTCTGGCCCACTCAGAGCTACAAGATAGCACCGCTCAGCGGCTTCGCACCACTCAATCACAGTCTCGCGCCTAATAACCTACGTCCGCACCAGCCCAATCGCCCCAGATAGCCTTAGATAGCGCCTACGCCCCAAGGACCACTACCCAAGCCATCACTGATAACGACGAGCCTCGCGCTTGGCCTTCCAACCCTCCGGACCACCCTTATAAGCGCTAGCGGGCGTCGAAAGAACCCTCGGCCCATTCATTATCCTCAACTCCTAGACCTATCGCGATCGAGAGTGACCAGCGTCCTACGCGAGCGTCACTTGCGCCGGCTTAATCTCGCAGATAGACTATGTCTAAGGAACCTCGTGCCCTGCCTTCGCGTATACTAGTGCCTCCCGTGTCTACCCACGAGCGAGCCTAATTAGAGTCACCAGAAGAAACCCTCACGAGGGCACTCGAAGATTAGGCTCGTGAATGTCCTATCTGCCGCGCTAAGGGCCTTCCCCTATCTGTGCGAGCCCACCAGCTCATATCCTACAAGGGGGCCAATACGGAATTAGTTCGCCAAGAGAGCACTCAGCTCCTACAGCGTCTTAAAACTCGATCAGGGTCTTATCGTGGCTGCGGACTTCCTAAACCATTTTGCGATAGGTTCAAGGACCGCTCTTATCGTGCTAAGCTTCTCACTCGGGATCGTACCTATTATGCCCCACGGATTATGGCAGCCACAATTATTAGTACTGGAATTTTCGATACTCCGCGATTCAAGATAATATTAGGATAGATTAAGGGAGGGGACACAATTAATATAGAGGATTCTAAAAAGGTATATTAATAGTTTACGTAGGAGGTTCCATTTTTAGATATAGCGGCCACGCGACTCACGCTCACCTAGAGTGGTAAATGCAATGGGGGCCCATTGCATTTATTAGGGTTTATTTTCCCATAGTTAAAAAAAGTGGGTCAGGGGCCCATTGCATTTAAATTTTTGGCACCCCCATTGCATTTAAGTTTTTGGTGACATGGATACCCCAGATTTTGATATGTTTTAGATTGAGAATGAATCTATCCCATGGGGGGTGGTGGGATGCATTGCATACCAGTTAGGGTTTTGGCTTTACTATGGGCGAAAAACGGCGCTAGTGAGTGCATACCAGTTGGACTTCTCGAGTGCATCCCAGTTGAAAATATCGGTCGGACAATCATCAAAACTTCAAAAGTTCTAAATTCGCGATCGCTCTATACCCGGTTTCAATTTAAAGATCGTACAATCAAAAGAAGAGGTAGTTACAGGGGTTAGAAATTTGGACCTTTTTTTTTGATGGGGTGCGCTTTGGCCAGTCGTGCGATACTTAGTCACCCTTAGGCTAGGGGTTTACATAAGCTTAGTATAACCCTCAAACCCTACTACTTTATTAAAGAAGGCCTTCTGTCGGCCTTGCAGGGAGGCGGATACCACGAAGCTTTTCGTGGCGCGGGGTACGCTTTTGTAGATGCTTCCCCACCACGGACTATTGACTACCCGACCAAGGAAGGCTTGATCGGATAAAGATAGAAAAAGAATAAGATAGAGTGTAAAGGGCTTATGCACTCTAAATAAGCACAATCCACAATCCTTAAACAAAGGACTAAGAAGAAGGTCTTTCTAAGCAGATAGAAAGGGATAGTAGAATATTTGAAGAGAGTGAAAGGTCTGTTATTTCTACTTAGTGTCTCGCGCGTATTTATAGACAGAAAGTGGTTAAAGTCACATACTTTATATCAGATAAACAGAATAGAATTAGGGAAGGAAATATGATAGAACTAATAGCGTAATAAGGGATATGTTATCGATCTGGTGGGGTAAAGAGGGGTAAGCGATTTAGAGAGGTAAAGTATATTCGTATTTCTTTTCTTCTTCTTCTTCTTCTTCTTATATTAAATAAGAGGATACCTTCACCTAATATAGTATTAGTCCAAATTCTAACACCTTCTAGTAGCTATACTACCTTAATTAACGAATATAAATAAAAAAGGTAGATAACTTCTCTATCTCTATCCTCACGTAGGAGATACTATATATACTCCTAGGTATGCATAACACCTTAGGCCGCAGCCGCGTTTACTATATTATATATTCCACCACTATAATATCTATATATTCTATTATAATTCGCTAAAGACGTATCTTTAATTATACTTAGTATACTAATAAGATTAATAGATAAAGAACGGGGGAAGTCACCTCATTACAGTCAATAATAGGCTTAATAGACTCGTATAATGGGACTGAGGCAGTTATCTCAGTGTAGTCGGACAATAGGACTAAGGTAGTCATCTTATTGCAGTCAGATAATAGGACTGAGGCAGCCACCTCAATACAAACACGTAATATGCTCAATGCAAACGCACAATAAGGCTCAATAGAATTATACAATGGGACTGAGGCAGCCACCTCAATGTAAACGCCCAATGTGCTCAATGCAAACGCACAATATGCTCAATAGTCTCGGACAATGAGGCTCAATAGACTTGTACAATGGGACTGAGGCAGCCACCTCAATACAAACGCCCAATGTGCTCAATGCAAACGCCTAATGTGCTCAATAGTCTCGGACAATAAGGCTCAATAGACTTGTACAATAGGACTGAGGCAGCCATATCAATGCAAACGCATTATGGCCTCAATAGACTAGGACAATAGACGTACTTCGGATGAATGTACAATCCTCAATATATAATCAAGTTTTCTTCCTTTTCGAACTTACCTTCCTTCACATCTCTCTTACCTGACCACTTTCTCTACCTTAAAAATCAACCTTTTTTTTTACTTCTTTTTCTAAAATCACTGATTGTCTCTCGCCCTGTGCCCCCCTTCTTCTCTCGTTTCTTGACGTACAATTACGTCAAGATGTCTCCCTTGTACGAACCCAACCCAAGCAGTGAAGTCAAACTAATTCCGATTTAGTTCCTCCCTCGTCTCTCGCCGTGGTGGTGGTGGCCGTGGCGGCCGTGGTGGCTCTGGATCGTTGTACGTATGCTTCCTTTCCTATGGCGATATATGTGAAACTAACTATTGTACAGCGGAGGTCGGGAGCGGAGTCCCCATACCGGCGAAGGTATCCTGAACTTTGGTCCCGGGGAATGGAGCAGGTAAGCTCTTGACTTTTTTATGAACGATCTTTAGCTAATGTATAATCTCTACTAGCTGGCCCTTCCCCTACACTGACCAGGATGGGAACCCTCGTCTTCCTCGTACGCACGCGGAGGGTATCCAGTCCCTCATCCAATACGCTGAACGACCAGGCGGTAACCAGGGTCAGCTTCAACTCCCAGTTGGCGGCGATGAGCTTGCCCGGATGTGCACAACTCCGGTGCAGCTCGCGATCCTTCGGGGTCGTGGACGCCCTATCTGGCATGTACGAGGCAACATTAATGGGCAGCAAATTGTCTCCCAGCGACCCTCGTATATTAATGCCCTGCTGATCCAGTCCCGTGGCAATCAACTCGTTCAGCCTTGCGAGGCGTGTGTGGACCGGTGCAAACCTTTTCCGCAGTGTATCCGACTCCCGGGTCAGTTTGGCGGCTGTTGTGGCAATTATAAGTGGCGTGATCACGCATCTCGGTGCTCTGTACGAGATAGACAGCCCCGCAATGCTACACGGCCATGGCCACGGCACCCACCTCGTCCCTTACCCACAACGGATATTATTGACCTAACGGACGACCGGAGTGTCGTCCGGTCGGCCCAAGGGCTATCCCGTCGGGCCTATCAACGTCCTCGTGCGGATAGCGAGGTCCAAGAGATCACTATAGTGGATTTGACTGAAGAGGAGGATAACCGGCGTCGGACCGAGCCTTCTCAACTTGCTTGGTACGAAGAGGCCTAGGGAGGACGTACAATATGGGTGGTAGGGAGTGAAGATAGCATTTTAGGCTAGAAGAGGGAATACTTACAATACCGAATGAAATCCGCATTTTTATTACTTATAATCATTCGTAGATATAGATCTTATTAAATTATATATAGTCATATATACTAAGGGTCGTCGAACAAAGCTTTGTCTTAGTGGAAACTTAGTATATTCGATCAGCCTATCATATTATTAATACTATCTAGCTTGGGTGGCGTAAGATTCAGGGGTAAAATATAAATCTTTAGCGAATTCCCACTTACTTTTTTCCTCGCCCCAACAGACTAAGCTCCGTTCTTTGTACGACCCCCGCAAATATATATTTGGACGATCTACGAAACCTTATCGTACAATGGCATCCCGCACCGCCGCGGACTTATTTTTACGGATCCCCAAGTATTCCGTGATTGTCTGTCGCCAGTGTCAGTATGCTGTCCGACCGACCCAGGTCGTGTTTCATCTGACCCATTCCCCGCATCGTACAACGATTCCCGATGCCCGGCAGGTCCAGGCGGCTATCGAGGAGTGGGACGAGGTCGAGGAGAATATTAATCAGTTATGCTTTCCCGAATGGGTGGACCAGCCTATCGAAGGCCTCGCGATGTACACTGATGGTATCCTATGCACCCGAGTCCAAGGCTGTGGATATGTATGCCGGAGTAAAGAAAGTATTCGGAAACATTGGCGTACGGAGCATCATTGGTCGCCGTACGGTCACCATCAAGGCCACCAGCAGTCTTGGCTAAATGATCTTGCCCGAGTGGCTATTCAAGACACTACCCAAGCGGTATGCTGCCAGCGGTTCTTTACCACGAAGTTTGGTTCCCACTATATCCACGTTCGCCGGCCCGGCCCGTCGTACGAGCCGATGGAGCCTCCGCCGCACCCTACTGTGGTCCAAGGGTTAGTGAACCAGCTCGAACAGTGTTTCACCGCGTCCCAGGCCAGCGACGAGACGGTCGTACAAGCCGGCGAGCTGGATGAGGCCAACCCGTGGTTACGGCGGACGCAGTGGGCCCAGTATTTGCAGGGGATCCCCGTACGACTATTGTCCGAGGCCATCGCCACCCCCGATCCGGATGCCGAGGGCCCCGAGGGCATCGTACGTGCCATTTGGGACGCCATGGATCGGGTCGCCCGCGTGAGCCAGCGTATTACCAAGCAATGCGGCCATTTAATCCGAATCGAGGCCGCGCGGACCGAGAAGGACCAGAGCCCGCATCAACCATTGCAGGCGTATATGGATATGGATAACATTGTACGACACGTGGAGCCATGGCAGCGGGTGTTAATGTTTTTTGCTCGTACGCAGCAGCCGCACGAATGGCGCAGTCCCCGGTACCGGTTTATATCGCGGCAGCAACGCGCGTGGCAGGCATTATGGCGCTGTGCCCAGTCCACGGTCCAGCTGGGCCAGTCGTCGTCCGCGCAGGGCGCCGACCCGGCCACCCATGGTCGTACGAACGATGATCCCGAGCTATACCAGTTCACACCCATTGAACAAGCATGCATCGACTTTTGCATTGAGTTACTGAATCAGCGCGTAGGCGCCGAGGAGTACGAGTGTGCATTAGTATGTGCATTGGCCGTATTAGGGCGCAGCCGGGACGGTTGGCAGACGCCCGAGTCGTACCCCCCATTTTGTCCAAGATGATTAAGATTGCGCGGTTTATGGTATTGCATAAGGCATTACGGTTAGATCCCCACGCGGATGAGATCGTACAATTTTTGCAGCACCGACAAGGGGTCGGCGAATGGGCCAGCCAGAGTCCGATGGACGACCCCGAATATATATTCGCGGGCCAGGATGAAGGATATACCAGCCAGAGCCCCACGCCCACCCCCGAGCCCGATCACCCGCATTCACCGGTCGTACAAGATCCCCCCCGATCCCACGAGCCCGGATTGATATCATTTAGCCAGCAGCGGCGGCAGGGTTCGCGGCCGTTTCGCGAGTGGTTAAAGGTATTAGTGGATACGTTTATGGTCCGTGGCACGCATAGCCCGATGCAGTGGATGTTAGATTTACGGACGTACGGTTTACATGTGCATTATAATAGCACCACGCCCGGGCATATCGCGTGGATGGGCCCCGACCAGATATTGTACAAGGAGGTGCATTTTTCGATGGGCGATTTCCGAGGCTTCGTACATGGATTAGTGGGATCATTACAGGGGATATTGCGGGACGAATTGTTAATGACCACCGAGACCACGCCCATCCCATCCATCCCGTGGGCCAGCTTGATAGACGACCCCGCGCAGGCCAAACCCGGGTGGTGTTTTTTAAAGGATTCGCGTACGACGTGGCCCGTGGATGGCGCACAGTGGATGACCCAGCGGTTAACGCAGGATAGTGCCGTACAACGGCGGTTTATCAATACGCACGAGGGTCAGTTCCGGACATCCGCCATTCAACGATATATGCAACGGGTCGTACGATTCCGTGAGCAGTTATGTATCGCCATCCACGTCACCGCCGGACAACCCAGTCGAGCCCCCGAGCTGTTAAGCATTCGGCACCGGAACACCGAGGGCGGCCACCGCAATATATTCATCGAGGATGGATTAGTGGTATTTGCCAGTCGGTACCATAAGGGGTTTTATGCGCAGAATGACGCCAAAACGATCCACCGGTATTTACCGCGGGAGGTCGGGGAGTTGGTCGTACAATATTTGTGGTTAGTATTGCCATTTATGGAGCGATTGCAGGCATACCCGCTGGGGCAGTCGTCGTACGAGCATCCGTCCCATTTATCGCAAGCCGCATATTTATGGCCGCCCGACCCCCATACCGGCCGCGAGTGGTCGTCCGAGCGGTTCCGGGAGGTGTTAAAGCGCGAGACGGCCATTGGATTGCATGGGTATTCATTAAATATCCCCGCGTACCGCGATATTGCCATTGGGATCAGTCGACGGTTTTTACGGGTATCCAGTGTGTTCCCGAATAACGTCCAGGATAGTCGTACGACCGATGGTACGCCCGACGATGCGGACGACGAGTCCCAGATGGACCACGACCAATTTATGGGCCATATTGCGGATTTACAGGCCGCGCATTCATCGCACGTCGCCGGGATGATATATGGCCGCGAGGTCAGCGAGCAAGCCGGTACGACGGCGCACCGCCGTGAGATGTTCCGGTTATCCAGCACCGATTGGCACCGGTTTTTAGGGTTTCCATCGTCCGAGGATCCATTAGCCCGGGTATTAGGCAAACGCAAGCGATCCCCGTGGGAATCGACGGCGGACGAGGCCCGCAGCCAGCGTCGGTGGCAGTTACGCGAGACCGATATGACCGAAGCCGTCCGACGGATGACCGGGGACGACCAGATGCAGTTCCGAGGCGTACAAGGGCCGGCCATCCAGGCCATCCAGCACGGCGCCAGTCCGGTCGTTGCCGTGATGCCCACCGGAGGCGGCAAAAGTATGTTATTTATGTTACCCGCGTGGGTGGCCGGTGGATTGACCGTGGTCGTGGTGCCATTGATTGCATTACGGGCCGATTTGCAGGACCGTTGTACGACATTAGGGATATCATGCGTGGCATGGGAGAGCCGACGGCCCCCGGACGAGGCATCGATCGTATTGGTCACGCCCGAATCAGCGTTAAGTACGGAGTTCACCACGTTTTTGAACCGGCAACGTATGATGCAGCGGTTAGACCGGATCGTGATCGACGAGTGTCATATTTTGTTAAACCGGGACACCACGTTTCGTCCGATGATGCAGCAGTTAGGCCGGTTGACCGCCGCACAAACGCAGGTTGTGTTATTAACGGCCACATTACCCCCCAGCGCGGAAGGTCGATTATGGCAGCAGATCCGATGTGAACGGTCCCAGGTCGAGTTTTACCGGGGTCGTACGAGCCGGACCAATATCGCATATCGTGTATGGCGGCCCGTATTAGAGCGTGGGTTAGAAGGACCAAACCAGTGGATCCAGATGCCCCAGGTGATGGCATTCGTCCGACAGCGGATCCACCGCGTGCCCGCCGGACGGGTGATTGTGTACGGGAGCACCAAGACACATGTGGGTATCATGGCCGGTGCGTTAGGGTGCGATGCATTTTACAGCGGGCAGGACGACAAGAGCGGGATCATCGAGCGGTTCCGGCAAGGCCACACCGGGGTGATCGTGGCCACCAGCGCATTAGGGATGGGGATTGATATCCCCGATATCCGGTGTGTGATCCATATTGGGTGGCCCCGTACGATGTTAGATTATGCGCAGGAAAGTGGGCGTGCGGGCCGTGATGGGCAGGCGAGCGAGGCCATTATCATTCAGCCCGCGGGGATTGATACCGCACCGCCATGGATGGTTCCCGAGCCCACGCGGACCGGTTTGCCCGAGTCCGAGGAGCCACAGCGGGTGTACGATTATATCACGGCCGGGGTGGGCCAATGCCGACGGGTGATGTTGGACACATATTTAGATGGCACGGTGGATGGATATCAGCGGGTTCGATGCGGTGATGGGCCCCCCGGGTTGGACGAAGCCCCGTGTGATCGATGCGAGCCCGGTTGGCAGGCGATTAAGCCCGAGACGAGTGAAATGCCCATGATTGACCCCGTCGTCCGTCCCCGCCGGCCCATCAAGTCCATCCCGCGTCGTACAACCATCCCCGCACGGCCATCCCATATTCCACCATCCATCATTCCCAGTCCCCCCGTCAGGCCCACAGCGACACCACGCGAGCCCCCAGAAGCCACCAGCCCAGTCCGGGTGACCCGGAGGATTTCCATTACCGACGAGATTGATTTCCCGCCATGGCCAGTCCGGGATCACCCCGTACGACCCGCCGTGGGAGAACCCGTACGGGATCCAGGACCGATCATCAATCGTTTATATCCGCGGGTCGGTTCCAGGAGATCCGAGAGCATTCAGTCCCAGGTCGTCCGGATCACACCGCAGAGCCCAGGCCCCATCCCACCACCCGTACGACACCCCAGTCCGGACGTTCAAGATTCGGATGA